CGCGGATGCAGATCTCGGTGGTTGTAGCAAATATTTGAACGAGACCTTCGAAGACCGAAGTCGAGAAGTGTTCCGTGCCAACGGCGATCGATCATACTGGCTTCACGCCTGACGACTGGTCTCTCGAGGGTCCGCCCTATCAACTGTCGACGTTCGGTTAAGTGCCTACCGTGGTTACTACGGGTAACGGGATATCGGGGTTCGATTCCGGAGAGGAAGCATGCGAAACGGCTACCACATCCAAGGAAGGCAGCAGGCACACAAATTACCCACTCCCGGCACGGGGAGGTAGTGACGAAAAGTAACTCACTCTCCGACGAATGCGGTAGCCAAAATACATCAATTTTTCTCTCCCGATTCGAAAACACCAACTGCTTTTATCGGCCGAGCATTTTTTTCATTATGGCCCGAGCTCTGTCCAACAGTTGGTTTGTATTCATGTCTTCCATCCTGGAAGACGCGCGCAGTAGTTGATTGACGTGGGCTGGTAACCCTGCTATGAACCCACGTGCTAGCTTGTAAGCGTTCTGAAAGCAAAGGAAATATTTGTCGCAGATTAATTCCACAACGCAGAGAAGAAATCACTGTATGTTCAGACTCGAATATCGAGGGCAGAAAAAATGCCGAAAACTCGATTCGCAGGTACTATCTCACAAATCCCAATGCACGTAACCAGTCAGAAAAATAACTCACTCTCCGACGAACGCGGTAGCCAAAATATACGAATTTTCCCCTCCCGATTCGAGAACTCCAACTGCTTTTATCGGCCGAGCATTTTTTTTAATTCGTCTACAACTGGGAGAGGACGCCAAATTTTTGCATATCATAATCCTTTTATAGAGACTCCTGCGACGGACTTGTTTTTTAATCTAAATATTCCGTCTTCAATATGTCATGCGGAATACGTGCCCTTTTTCTGGTAATTAATTTTTTTCCGTCATAGGATACACGCGACGCGCTGTCGCTTGGTTTGATGAGGTAAAACGTCGTTTTCTTCGCTATAAATTGATACAATAATAGTTAATAAAAAAAGAACACGCTACCGCCCTTGTCAAAATTATTGGATTTCCCTGTATCCTTGGAAACAGAAATTATAAATGTATGTGCTTTTAAAACTCAGTAAATTTCAAAATAAGTTATTCCAAAATTCACTTGAAGATGAAACAGAACTAATTTAATATAATTGAATTTGAAGCTTATGTTTTCTGTTTTTGAAACATGGTGAAACCATTTTTTAAATCTGCGATGAAACCATATTTATATATCTGTTAATTTATAATATATATATATAAATATATATATATATATATATATATATATATATATATATATATATATATATGGTATATATATGGTATGGTAATGAGGGTTTGGTAATCCGTGTGGATAATTCCAAAGAGTATGTATTCCAGAGAGCTCAATGCAACAAAAGAGTAAATATTATTTAAATAATTAAAAAGAGACAACCTTATGGTTCGATGACTATAATTTATTTCGCCAGAAAATATATTTTTCCTGGTTCATGTGACTTGATGAACCAGGAAAAATATATTTTCTGGTGAAATAAATTATAGTCATCGAACCATAAGGTTGTCTCTTTTTTAATTATTTAATTGATAGCTCTTGAAAATATATTTTCATTTGCGCATTATTGAATGACAAGCTAATTTTAAAAACAACGGCCACCTGCGTAAATGCAAGAGATCTTCATTAAAATGAATGAAGCACTATGGCTGCTTGGCGCATGTTTACGTTTGTAAAAACAATACGCTTGATTTGGCTGACTCGTTCAGTCGAGTGAAGATGGATCTGTGGTAGAAAATCTAAATTAACATCAAATCTGTTGGGTTTCGATCCGGGCTTAAGGCATTCGGTCGTCTAATTGCACTGAAGAGTACTGTCTGCGAATGACGTGTGTGTGTGTGTATGTATGTATGTATGAAGAAATATAGTTTTAAGATGTGCTATATATATGGGATAAAGTGTATATAAATGCAAAAGTGAACATTGAAGTCAACACTGAGAGGCGACAGGCTGTTCCATGCGATTACGTGAAACCGCCTGTCGCCTCTGAGTGCAGACTTCAATGTTCACTTTGTGTGTGTGTGTGTATATATATATATATTTATATACATACACACACATACGTACGTGTTTGGAGGATTTAATTAATTTTAATTCTAAGTTTCTAAAGGCTGGTGAATATACAATGTAAAAACATCACCATGAAAAATCCAAGCTTTAACCTTGACTCTACGGGAAATGACGCAACAAGGAAACCGATAACAGAAACTTGGAAATTGGATATGTTACACGTTATAGATTACAGTAAATAAGATATCGATTACATTAACGAAAATATTGGCTATTACATCCGAATAAATGATTATCGACAAATTATATATTTAAAAACATTTCGACAAAAAAATCAATGTATTTTCTGCTAAAATTGAAACATTTCTTTCCAGTCCGTAAATAAATACTTGTATTAATTTTGCTAAGTTTTGGCCGATTCCACCTGAAAAGTTCTTGGCCCGGCCTATATATATATATATAGATATATATATATTAGAAAGGGATGGATTTATTTTTATTTATTAATACGACAGATTTTTGACAGTCTGAAGCAAGTCAGATTTAGTTCCCCTTAGATTTAGTTCGAGTCCTGCCGAAGACTGCATATTTTTCCTCTAATAAGATTTTTCGAATTTTCAAGCCGTAGCCGAAAAATAAATATACTATATAAATATATATAGAAACAGAGCGTCTACACAAATACAATTATCCACTAAAAAATAACGTTTACGATAATATATATATATATATATATATATATATATATATATATATATATATATATATATATATATATATATATAGGGTGTCCAAAATAATGTATACACTCTTTAAATATTAATAGTTAATAAGACATTATTATGATGTGAGAACTTATATGGATGATAATGTGTCAAACAGATGGATTGGAAGAAGCGGGACAGTTGAATACCCACCTAGATCATCAGATTTGAAACTCTTAGACTTTTTTTTGTGGGGGTTTCTAAAAGACAAATTTTACAGCAGGAAACCTGAAACAATTACTGAAATAAAGAATAGCAATTGAAGAATTTGCTCAAATACCAGAGGAAATGATACTGGATGTTTGTAGGTCCATTCCTTCAAGATATGAAAAGTGTATTGAACAGAACGGCAACCATTTTGAGCACTTGATGTGAACTCATCATTATATGAACATTCTACCATTGCCCCAAGTAGCTTTTATCTTATTAAAGTTTATTTTCTATGTCATTTTTAATATTTCACTCTTAAATTCTTTAAATGTGTATTATTTCTCTTGTATTAATCTTATTTACAAGTCAAAATACATAAATTGAATAAGTTATAATGATTCAAAGAGTGTATACATTATTTTGGGACATCTATATATATATATATATATATATATATATATATATATATATAAAATGAACATTGAAGTCAACACTCAGAGGCGTCCAGCATGAAACAGTCTCTTAGTGTTGACTTCAATGTTCACTTTTATATTTATATTTACACACGCTCTATCTCTGATATTGAGCACTTTATGCCATAAATATAGCACACCTTAAAACAATATTTTTCATATATATATATATATATATATATATATATATATATATATATGGTTATTCTATCTGTTTTCATCATCTCACATCTCTTTCTCCACCGTCTATCCATTTTTCGCTCTCTCTCTTTCTTTCTCTCTTTCTCTCTTTCTTTCTCTCTCTCACATACCTTCTGTCTTTTATCTATCTATCTATATATATATATATATATATATATATATATATATATGTGTGTGTGTGTGTGTGTGTGTGTGTGTGTATAAGATAATATAGAATTAAGATAAGATGAAATTATGTTTCGCTATTGATATACTGAATTGAGGAATCAGACAGGTTCTGACAATTTTCAGCACCCATTCGTAAATCTATTGAATATGCTAGGCTATGAGGGTCTTGTTAGCAGGCCTAGCATAGAAATAAATTCAATATGGGAGACGTTAATAAATGTGTAGAAGAATGAACGTCCGCGCTTGGCATGTGTTTATTTGGACGGGTGGCGTAAATAGCCGACAGCATTCGGCGATGACCGTCGGCCCAACGAAATGAGACGGTTTCGTTTGATTTTGCTGTCGATAAGAAAGTACAATAGTTGAGTTGGCTTTCGGAGTGAAAAACGTGTTCACTTTATATTTTCAGTCAGAGGTTTTTGCTTGGCGGTCGTTGGTGGGTTAGCGACCGTCAGGGTGTCAAGGACTCTGTCGTAGTTCCTCATTTTTCTCACAAATGCGCAACCCGACTTCAACAACAGCAGTAGTAAGGAAAGTACCCTCGGTTCATGCAGTCAAACTTGATAAACAGAGACAACGGCAAGTAGTCAAGTATGACAAAATACCAGCAACAGGTAGATTACCTTGATTCATTCATTCATGTTTTTACGGCTTATCAACCTTTTGCAGGTTATTTAAAGCCAGAAAATATTTTTTTATTGTAGATTAATATCTAATTCTAAATTTGATAAACATAAAAGAAATTATGTGAATATAAAGTAGGGGATCAATTCTATACGACAATCAATATATAAACTAATCCCTCACTTTGTGGCCACGTTAGTTTCTATACATTTGTATACCAGAGAATGTAAAATAATCTAAAAGACATGCCTGTGCAGTTTAATTGAGTGTTTCGTTTTCTACGGCTTATCAATCCTTTGCAGGTTATTTAAAGCCAGAAAATAGTTTTAGATTGGAAGAATTTTTGTTTGTTTGAGATAATAATGGTTTAGTAATACAAATCTTGCTAATTAACCCGTAGCTGGGGAACGAGAGGTGGATTAATACCTTTCCTAGGTGAATATAACGAACCTGACTGGAACTGAAACTCGCCTCTCCGATTAACAATTCCGAGCCATTATCCATTACACCACCCGCACACCTAAGCTCACAGTACCTGGTATTCCCAAGCGGTCACCTATCTAGGTACTGACCAGGCTCGACGTTGCTTAACTTCAGTGATTGTACGGGCACTGGTGTTTCAATGTGATGCGGTCAGAAGCAGATTGTGATTAAATCTCTGAGTTATGCAGCAAGCAGGATTATCCCACAAAATCCCACGTAGTGGATAAAACGATAATTTGTTCTTGTATTTCGTGATATAGTAATTATGAGTTCAATCCCTAGGCCGGGTAGTGAAGTGGAAACAGGCCCAACATTAACAACATAATCTTAAATAAAAACAACACATGAAATGCCGAAACAGCGTAACAATCTACCAACCGTAGATCAAATAAAAGGGCCCAGTTAAAAATTCTCTATAGGCTACCCGGATCGAAACACACCTGAAGATGGTTAAAGGTACCATTGACCGAAACATTGTGCACAAAAAGATGAAGACAAAAATAACAAATCATTTCGATTGTCATTATTTATAAATTGCTTTAAACAGATCGCATATAGTGATTTTCTAAGCGTTGCTCAAATGTGGCACAAGGCCGAAAGTATGGAGCACCCAGTGAGGATTGAACTCACTATTCAATCGTAATTGATCTAGCAAGACAAGTTTGCTAACCATTAACACCACGCCAAAGTGACCGAAACAAATCATCTATAATTTGAAGATTTTATTTTTACAAACCTTTATTTCTCATTCCTGCAACCTTACATACTGGAATAGAAAAAAAACAAAAATATCTTGAAGAGACCTGATAAATATCTGTCTATATCTCTGAAATGAGGTATTATGATTACTTACATTATTCGGACTGTAATCCTCATCATCATTGCTATATTTACAACGTTTCGGCCGTTAGGTGCTCCGGCCTTCATCAGGTGTTTGGAAATTCTAACTGAACCCTTGCTTTCGTCTAACAGGATAGATTGTTCTAGTTCCACGTGCTGTGACTCTTCCGAGTGTCGCAGTTATTTCCCTTTAACAGAACTCTCCATGTTTTGGTTCACTGCTCATGTGGCCTATATCTCTGAGATGAGGATTACTTACATTATTTACATTATTCGGACTGTTATCATCATCATCATTGCCATATTTACAACGTTTCAGCCGTTAGGTGCTCCGGCCTTCATCAGGTGTTTGGAATTTCGAACCGAACTTTAGCTTTCGTCTAACGGGGTAGATAGTTCTAGTTCCACGTGCCGTGACTTTTCCGGGTGTCCTGCTCCTGTAGCCTGGTATTGAACTCATAACTATTTGGGTTTAGTCACTGGATCTAACCAACGCCTTTATCCGCATGGCCCAATGGTTACAGCAGTGGTGGACCAAAAAACTTGGAGAGTTGAGTTAAAGGGAAATAACTGAGATATCCGGAAGAGGCATGGCACGTGAAACTAGAACAGTCCAACCCGGTGGACGAAATAAAGGGCTCGGTTCAGAATTCCAATCACATGATGAAGGCCGGAGCGTATAACTGCCGAAACGTTGTAAATAGGAGAATAAAGATGAGGATAACAGTCTGAATAATGTAAATACTGTGAGACCTTATAAAATATATCGTCTGTAGTCGGATGGAGAACTGACCAACCACAAAATACGATAATTATAACTTATGTGGTGGGTCTTGAGGATGTTGGTGATCAGGGCTCTCCACAATTTCCTGTCCTTTGTAGCTATTAGTAAATTTTGGTTTACGGACATCGATCATCGAAGTTAAGCAACGCCGTGCCTTGTCAGTACCTAGATGGGTGACCGCTTTTGAATACCAGGTACTGTAAGCTTGTATATGCGAATGACATGGTTTATGGAAACATCACGTTGTAATACCAGTTCCCATACGATCATCCAAGTTAAGCAACGCCGCGCCTTGTCAGTACCTAGATGGGTGACCGCTTGTGAATAACAAGCACTGTAAGCTTGGGTGTGCGGATGACACGGTTTATGGACCCGTCACGTTGTAACACCAGTTCCCATACGATCACCGAAGTTAAGCAACGTCGAGCCCGGTCAGTATCTAGATGAGTGACCAGGTGCTGTAATCTTGGATGTACAAGTGATGTAATGGATAATGATGATCATGACTATTGTTGGTAAAGCTTGTGACACTCTAACACTAGATACCTTTCGTATCTCCTTATTTCACTATGCAGTATTTAATTATATTTCGGTAATCGAAAATGTCGCTCAGTGTAATCTGTGCAGATTGCAATATCCGTACCTTGAATAATTTTGTTCGCTGAGCTATCTGGAGAAATAAAATGAATAACTCACGGAATCTTCAAATGGAGAAAAAAGCATCCGGAAATACCAGGTGAATTCGTCAAGCGCAAGCTGACTTACCTGCTAAAAGAAAAAAAAAAGAAACATGATTTTCACAATGAGCAGGAAAATGTTTTAAAAGTTGTGGGTCTGTTCTAAAATCAATTGGAAATCGGAATCATTTCTAGAATCGAAAGAGACACAACTGGTGAGAAGAAAAAAGCCATGCATATAAAGAACTTTTTCAGGGTCACACAGAAATCAAGGTATTAAGGAAAGCTAGTCAGAGATTTGGTTTGTTTTGTTTAAGAATGTATCAACCACTGGGTTTTTTAAAGCCGAAATCTAAACCTTTCGAACGTAAATTTATGGTTTCAACTACAAATAAAATATACTGCAGAACATTTCGCTTTAAAAATGTATTGTTGGTTATTTTGCTTTAAAAATGTATTGTTAGTTATTTTCCTTAAAAATATATTGTTGACCAATTAGCTGTAAAATATATTATTGGTCATTTGCTTTAAAAAAATATTGTTGGCCATTTTCCTATAAAAATGTATTATTGGTCATTTTGCTTTAAAAATATATTATTGGTCATTTTGCATTAAAATGTATTGTTGGTCATTTTATTTTAAAAATATATTGTTGGTTATTTTGATATAAAAATATATTGTTGGTTATTTTCCTTTAAAATGTATTATTGGTCATTTTATTTTCAAAATATATTGTTGGTTATTTTGCTTTAAAAATGTATTTTGGTCATTTTACTATAAATATATGTTGTTGGTAATTTTATTATAAATAAATATTGTTAGTTAGTTGATTTTGTTTCGCGGCATATCAACCACTATGGGTTATTTAAGGCCGAAATCTGGACACAACTTTATACCTTCAAGTAAATAAACTTTGAACGCAATTGTATGCCTTCAACTACAGATAAAATCTATTGCTGGTCATGTATTGTCGGTCTTTTTAATATAAGATGTATTGCTAGTATTTTTACTATTAAAATGTATTTTATATTTTCATGATGCTTTTTGTCTGGGGCTGTGACCCTAAGAGGGGCTATCACCTCGGGTCAGGATGAACCTGAGAATAACAGCAATTATGAGGTGGCTCCACATTCCTCAAAAACTCCAAGCTCCCGGTAACAGGCCTTGCTGTTGGATGTGGTTTATCGTCATATTCATAGATAGACAATAAAGAGAGCGCAGAAAAACAGAAAAATAGGTGAAAATGAAGAGCAGATAAAAAGGTAACTATCGATATTGTATCATACATCTTGAAAGTTTTGGAATCGATGCAGGCAAACAAACAAACACACACATATATATATAATTTTTTTAATCAGACATGTTTACTATAAAATATATATATATATTTAATCAGACATGTTTTTATTTTATATATATATATATATATATATATATATATATATATATATATTAAACATGTCTGATTAAACAATTCAGACATGTTGTGTTTGTTTATTTTCAATATCTTTTCGTAATCATGTATAATCTTTGTTGTTTCATGATTAAAGAAAGCAAGGCAGGTACCATAGTTGTGTTTATTTATTTTTTATTTTTCCGAGTATTTTCGACATATTCCAATATCTTCAGTGTTATGATGGCTAAGAAAAATAATTGTGCTTGTCCAAGGTAAATTTTTATTTTTGTTTTTAAACCGTTTACAGTTCTGTTCATGCACAAACTTAAAACGGTAATTTTAAAATTTTTCCATGTTGTAAACATTTTAATCTAAGGGAGATAACTTAGTTAAGCATTGAATTCTTGTAAGGAGCTTATAGTTTGCATGTTTTTAAAAAGCTTTTTGTTTTAACATAGGTATTTCTAAAGAACTATATACTATAAGCATTTCAGAATATTTCTACTATATTTATAATTAATTTTGTTAACTGTTGTTTTTATTTTTTTAATTAAAAGGAAACTTCGAAAATTTGTAGTTTCTGTCTATTACGTTCTTGGTAGAGTATACAGGTATTGTAGACCAATATTCTTCTAATTTTAAATGTTTTCAGATGTTGCGCAATGGACGATGAAGTATTCATGTGTAGAGTGAGCCGTCTTGATAACGTTATCGTAGAATAACCAACGTATACATTAACTTTTTGTAGGATATGAAATCTCCCAAGGAACATTTTAATTGATATATAGTGTTGTCTTTTTTGCAATACGTTAATTGGAGTATATATATGTATATAACGATATATAATTTTGTATAATTTTATATATCAACAAACAGTATTTAGAAAAATATGACAAACTGGAAAGATTTTTGGGACGTGTTTACCATTTCATTGGACTGGGCTTTGATGACGTTGCCACGTCTACACATGCACACGAAACAAGAGTTGCAGTTTGTTTCGAAATTTTTTGAAAGAATATTTTTTGAAAGAATTAGATTGAAAAAAAATTCTTTGAAAAATATTCTTTCAAAAAATTTTGAAACTGCCTGCGTATTCGTGCGCATGTGTAAACGTGGCAACCTCATCAAAGCCCAGTCCGATGAATCCTAACGCATGAATCGCTTCATAAAAAACCTTTCCAGTGTGCGTGTATATATATATATATATATATATATATATATATATATATGTGTGTGTGTGTGTGTGTGTGTGTGTGTGTGTGTGTGTATTTTGACAGCAATCCTTCTTTCATGCACATTTCAATGAATACGGCAGACAAGGTGCTTTGATTTAGTTTTTTATTCAATTTCTCATGTGCTCTAATTTTTTTTTTCTTTTCGGATGATAAATTATATAAAAACTGTCCGAATGTTCTTTTTTTCTGAGCGCTTTCGGCTATACATTTAGCCATTTTCAAGGGTGAAATATTTTAACTCTTAAATAAGAAATACTGTGTTGCATATATGTATTTAGTTAATGTTTTCCTTTTTTTTTTTCAAAACACGGTGTCCAGTAGGTCCCCATGAATATTTAAATGAGATCTAATTGAGCTATGGTCAGAAATGTGTAGAGTGAGTCTGCGTGTCAAACATGTTGTAGTGTGGTCTATATAATTATTTACGAATTTTGATTGATCAGGAATACAGTTCCATAATGGACATTTAAATTCGTAAATAATATTAGCCCTATTTGATTTTGTTCTAAGAGATGAATTATTATTTTTAACTATAAGGTTAGAGGTTTTAAATTTTTGTAATAAATAATTAATCTAATTTTTTTGCTATTGTCAACTGGTGTTATGAGTTTTTTTTTATAATGTTCTTAATTCTACTTTCGTCCTGTTTATAATTTTCATTCATTTTATTTTTATAAAAAATATTAATGTTATTTTTATGTTTCTATTATCGTCTTTGCTATTAGTTGCCTTAGACAGAAAACGCCTCATATATATATATATATATATATATATATATATATATATATATAAAATTATTTATTTAAATAATTGTATTTAGGCTCTACTTTTCTATCGAACATTGTTTTTAAAATAATAGCAAAAAATACTAAAGAACTTTTGATTATTTATCTAACGAGTTCTTTCCTATTTTCTATATATTTTCATATATATATATATATATATATATATATATATATATATATATAGTGTGATGGATAAATTGTCGTCTAAATTACGCAAAACTGCATAAGGTTTTGAAAGGCTGCTCGTATAATGAACAGTTGCATAATATCTGGGCTCTTAAGTGCCATGTCGCTCCATGAAAGCGTGTCCCTGTCAGAACCTCAGGTTGGCAACCCCGAGGCCACACTGTTGCAGTCTACGCCAGTTCCCTTCTTTCACATGTTACATTAGACAACCGACTGCTACTACTACCCTAGGGCTGTCGTTATCATAAACAACATACCATGACTATAAGATATCAAAGATATAAATCTAAAACATTTACACAAAAAAAACTTAAACCCCTTAACCTTTCTTTCTCCAACATTCGTGGTATTTGCACGAACTCCTGCTGTGTGGATTCGTTCCTCTTCGAAAAGTCTCCGGACATCCTAGCTCTCTGTGAAACTAATATTAACTCTTCAATCTCCTCTTCTGATTTCTCGATTACTGGCTATCTTCCTCTTCTTATGAAGGACTATAATGTCCACATGTATAGCCTGGGAGTTTATCTCCATTAACATCTCCTGTTGGCCAGGGAACACTATTTCCTGAATCTCCACACCATTCTTACATGTGTTGAGTGCTAGATAGCATTTCTGATAGTCATCTCCCTAAACCCGTCTGCAAATATATTTGTGTTGATGCCCGGTGGCTTATCACTGTCACTGACCTCGCTGGACATCCAAACTCCTAATCACTCAATCTCTCACGCAAGTGGTAGACTTCCCTAGGTGATTCTCCAGTAACCCTGATAGACACGTTTCTCTTTTAGAGCTCTTTTTTACTTCTATCCCGGACATGTCGTACTTTGCAGATCTGCCATCTTGGCAACTCTGATCATGCAGTATTGTCTGTAAGCATCTCTTTCCCCTCTCCTACCAGGCAAGAACCTCAAACAAACAGAATATCTTTCTTTTATCAACGAACAGATTTTGGACTCGTTCCGTGACTTCCTTCGTGACGTCAAATGAAATGTAGTTTTTAATCATCCTGTTCATAAATGCGCGTCTGAGGTCTCCTCCTGACTGAAAAACGGCATCGATATTTTAATTCCAGCAAGGAAATACCAAGTTAAACTCCCATTCATCTCCTTAGTTCTCACCAGCATGCACTACCTCTATAGCCCACAGGAATCCGGCTCTTGATTGCAACAGACGTCTCTT